GCGGAATATAACTTCGAGGTGAAGTATCAGCCGGGAAAGCAGAATGCTTTGGCTGATGTGTTGTCACGCATACCAGACTATGAGCTTGCTCATGTTACAACTGTAACGTCGTCTGTGGCGTATTTGATCCGCACCGCGTATGCGGGCGATGGGATGTGCGTAGCACTTCAACGGGCTCTATTTTAATGTCGGCTGCATGCAAAATATTACCGACTACATCCAATAAGGACTTCGGGATGGTGGCTAGTACAAGAAAGACAAGAATTAAAATCAAGAAAATAATACCCCAGCGGAATGAAGCAATGGAATATCTTAGTCAGGGCCGAGTAGTTATAGCCGTGTAATAAGATAATACATAGCAACTTTCAACAACAACTCTACTTGCGGTATCGCGATCTGGCTTCAAGGTTTGTACCATGTTATGGTGTACGTACACATCACACTGTTGTCTTCAAAACCTAAGGAGCTCCCTTTTGTGATCCCATGATAAGATGTCATTATTATTAGTTGGTACGGAATGGGAGTGATGAATCTCCACATCCGAAAGGGCGTAGGACATGTGGTGCTACGATGTACGTTTCCTACGTACACATTACACTGTTGTCCTCGGACTTTGTGACTAGCTCAAAGAAGTGCCTTGGAAAAACATCATGCTGAACTTACAATGACTAATGCATCAAAGTGATGGATCTCTAAAGGGGAGAGTTTTTTTTATATAAATGGTTTCATGTCGAACGTATATTGCATCTTTAGCAAGCTTGCATTCGAAATTTGAAACCACACATGTAAAAATTAGCAATATATTGCAACAGTATAGCGTACTTGCTTTTCACAATTGTCATGTTGATAATAAAAGCAGGTAAACTTTCAAAATCAGATTCTCAAAGAATATGTGCGAGAACGTTTGCCACCGTTTGCTGTTCCATTGCTGCTCGAGTAATAAACTCCGGACCAAGCTCATTTACCGAAAACTGAAATGATGACACACTCGGGTCCACGCGCCACGCAATCGCAGGCCGTGATGTTCGTATTTTTTCGGATCTGTAATCAGTCACAATGCTTCAAATCAATCTATAGCAATGACCAGTTTCGACGTACGATAGCACCAGCGGATACAACGATGAGGTCAGCTCACCAGGCGGCCATTCTTTTAGTTTACCCAAGTCATGCGATAATGTCGGTCCCTACATATCAACAAGCAGGATTCGTAAATATGTGTCTGAAGTCAACGTACCCGGTAGAGCGTACGCTGGAGCATTCCATTAAGTCCCAGACAAGCAATATGCTGTCAGAATACGAAGCATAAAAGACACCTGGACGTGATATTGACCAAGCTACGGCACAGACGCTAACACCAAATGCAACTTGCTCCCAACACGTAAGACATTGGGACACATTTACGTGATATAAGCTACATGCATATCATGTGAGCACGATGTACCAACGATTGTCTCGCCAAAACAGACGTACCAAATTCTCCCATCTTCATACCCTGTGAGAAAACAGTCCGATTCGAAAGGATGAAAGTCGATGCATACGACACCAGCATATGCATTTGCTGGTTCAATGCCTCGTTCTCGATGGTATTGCATGCGATCATTGACTTTTCCAAAGCGATTGTGTCGCACAATTTGACCCGTACGCATTCCAACAACAAATCTGGACAGCAAAAATGAGTAAAGCTCTTGCTACTATTTCTCATCATAACGATCACGTCTCCATACTGATTTGAATCATGCGGTAAAAACTTCAATACAGAAACTGCAGGACCAACGTTAGTATCGAGTGATCCTTTAAGCGGCCGCGTCACATCTTGCTGCTGCAATTCGATGCGTGTATTCATGATTAGTTTTACTTTGGCACCAATCTGTACACACTTGTCAGTGCTATCTCTTGAATTAACTTCAATCAAACTCCAGATGATGAAAATACCACGGTCATCCATTGATCCAAATTGAAATGTTATTTCCGTGTTTACGACGCTTTGACTCGAATCAATGGCTTCTAATGTTACAATCTTCGATATGTGTTGCTCTGGGGCACGATAGTCCATACCACACGTCGAGTACGCAGGTACACATATTGCGTGGCCGTCGACTAACGAGGTCGAGGATTGAATAGTAGACTGAGGTCGAAGATCCCAGACATGAATTGTTCCATCTTGTGTACCGACAATGACAAACAAATCTCGCAATGGGCTTAAACAAGCTGATGATGTCAAACCTTCACTTTGTAACACATGAATTGGCTGTACTGGCCGATTTATATCCCAAACACAAGAAATGGTCTTGTTCTCATATCTTTCAACTGGTTCATTTGATCCTTTGAGAACATTTCCGTAGCAGGATAAGAGGATATTAGATACGATTGGTGAAAAGCGTAAGGCAACAAGGTTACGATTTTGAACCATGGCTCTTAATGAACCTATCGCTTTCTCTTCGTTGCTTGGGAAAATTGATTTCTGGTTCAATTTGGCATCCTTTGTCAAATGATATTTCTGTCCAGATTGATTGTGATTTTCTAGGCTTGTCTTGGATTGATCGTATCTTTCGGATTCCATCGTGTTTTCTACCGCCAGACACTCACAGACGTACCCAGCATGCTCCAGAAATCTAAAGAATCGCGACGTTGACGTGCAAGCAAAATCTTTATCGTTGTCGCGATCTTTGGCCATACCGATGCCAATGTCATCAGGAAAATGCATGCTTTTGTCGTGCGTATTTAATGCTTTTGTTTGCGTACCCAGTGATCTTGGTCCATCGTTTGTTTGAACAAATGCTTGTTTGCTCAATCCTCTACGAAGCCGATTTGATACTCTCTCGTGCTCACTGACAGGATTGAGTTGAAACAATACAAATTTTTCTACACCGAAATCTCGTTGCTCTAGAATTTTCTTAATGCGCTTTGCACGTGGATCCAAGGACTGCTTCAAATCAGCAATCGACGAGGAGATGATCGTGGATCGCTTGGTTGCATTTGATTGTTCCTCGTCCCGAAAGCTTGATCCTCCACTAGGATTCAGTGACATAGATTGTAATCCCTTTGACTCTGCCTGCATGGCTTGTTGAATCCGGCGTAATTCTGCGTCAGCCGTTGCCGTAGTCACGCTGTCGCCTTGAGTCTTCTTGCTTACCAAAGCGGGCAAAGACATTGGCTCAGAATTGTTCTCCTCGTTTTCAAAGTCTTCATCGTAATTTTCAAAGTCCTCGTCTTCATAGTCCTCTGTATCTTCTTGACATTCTTCTGCGTTGGCATTTAATGCTTCAATTTGCTGTTTTTGACGAGTTTCGCGCTGTTGTTGATTATGTAATCGTTGCGCTTGTTCGAAAGCCTCTTTTTCTAATTCTTGACGACGTTTGGCCTCCTCTAACTCCTGAGTGCGTTTTTTCTTCGCCTCTCGTCGTTTTTCCTTATCACGTCCGGCATCTTCTTTCTCTTTCGCCGCAGCGGTATCAAATGTCGATAAAATGTCGGGACCCGACTCTGAAACCACATCGCTTCGTGACGTTGACTTTATTCGTTTCTTGGACATTGGACGCTTAAAGTCTGTATCTGGTTTTGGCTCTGCCAATTGGATCGGAGGAATCTGAAGCACTGCATCAATGGATGAAGAAGTAGTTACGACAGGAGGATGGGAGACATCCGAGTGGAAAGTAGTTTTTTTCTTGCTCGCTTTTTTCAGTTGAGCACCGTCACTCATACCATGTGGTTCCTTGGGATCTGACATGATACAAAGAAATTTGACTGATGAATAATTTCGGTGTCCAGTCGCATCCAAGCGACGTTAAAGTAATGATTCAGATTATAACATACGTCCGTCAGATCTTAACTCGAGTAATTACGAAATTAGAGCAAAGAGTTGTAAGCGTCGACATCAAGTTTACAAGATGGACTGCTCTACTTTTAATGAAATACATGCCATAAGATAAAATACCGAGTGAGAGTGAAGGCTTGGAGTGGATGATTTGTTGTGTAGCTGTAACAATGCAGGAAAAGAAAGGGCTGACGATGCTAGTTGGAAGTTAATAGACAGTAAATTGCAATGTGACTACCAACGATTGTTTTCCTATTGCTGCTAACCTAGGAGTATCGATTCTACATATATTTGTTATCTCTATTACCGTTACAGCAATCTGTCAATATAATTTATAACTTTCGTCTCTTCAAAAGACAGGAACTTAATTTCCAAGTCAGTCCTAATTTGCTGCAATTTGTGGTCAGAAATTCGATAGTTGACGCAATTATCGGCGATGTGCTTAAGCATGATGTCGAAATAGCAGGGCGAGGGGGGACCAACGCACTGAGCTATTTTCGCTTAATGGTTGTGAGAACTTTGTTATCGGTTTCAGACACGTGAAAAAAATTACGTTTATCACCCGATTCGTCGGTCGCGGGATGTCTTTCGCGATGGCTTACAATACGGTCATTGGAGCAATTAATATTTAAGAAAAAAATATTGCTCGGATTTTGTGTAGGAAATGGGCGCTTACTGTGCTCTTTGACGCATCAACTGATGATCAAGGGGTCTCTTGGATTGACGTTTGAGTGCGACATAACAAGAAGTCTGCTCATGAAGACCTCAAAATATTTCCATTCATGTTTCTGGCACACAGGCGCCGCAATCTTTTGAACTCTTATAAAAACTTTTGTTTAAATTGTACCTTCTGTCGAGATAGGGTGCTGATTGGAAATTCACTGACACATCTGGTGTGACACCCCCCCTGTTACCAGGGAATGCGTAACCCCGTTACACTCTTCCCAATTAAGATGGAGAACATTTACAGTTCCAATCAATTATTGCCTCAACGAGGCTTACGTGTCCGTTAGACACTGCGTTGAAACGAAATGACTTCCATGCTCAATGAGCCCTGTATCAATGGCACCGAAGTCCCCAAGTCTCACTGGTTCCGACAGCTCTCACGGGCAAAGCCCAGCTTCATCTCCCACACACGGTGCCATGTCGCACCTTGTCTCCGCGGCATCGAGGGATGTAAATACTAGGCTCGATGAGCCCGAGCGTCTGCGAGCTCTGCGTCTGTGACCGCAAGAGCTCAGGGCCACCGCCAGAGATCGGCTCATGGCCCTTCTACTTCCCTGGGTTTTGCCGGAAAACGCTGGGCGTCTCATAACGCGGGGCGTCCTGATCTTATGATCAAAAG